TTTGTTGGTTAAGAAACCAGTGTTATTAAGGAAAGTATATAGATTTTATTATTATAAAAACAAAAAATCTTTTGAAAACATTTGTTTTTTGAATTGGAAAAAGGATCAGCAGAAGGAGTCCTATATTAATTGCTTTTGTTTTAAAAAGTTATTTATATTTATATTATATAAATAAAATTTTAAAAAGTTTTTTTTTTTTTGGATTTTTTCAGTAGGTAAACATTATTTTTTTATTTAATATTATATATAACAAGATATATATTATAAAAAAAACAATATTTCTTTTATTATTTCAGGAAAGTTAAATATTAGCTTGCTTACTTATCAATATTTAACTAATATTATAAAAAAATTCAAAATCAATATTAATGTATTAAATAAGACTAAGTAGTGGCTATACCTATTATCCCAAAAAATTTTGTAAATTCTTTTGATTTTTTAAATATAAAAAAATAAAAATAAAAGTAACTATAACTAAAACTAAATCAAATATATTATAAGATCCATATATATAATGGAAAAACCAAATGTTATAAATAATAGAGTACACGTGATGTTATTTGTTATTATAGTTGCTAGTATTAAGTTAGTTATTGTTATTGTTATAATTGTTGTTATAATATAAAACTGATTTAAGCTTGTTCAGATTTTGTTTTGATTTTTAAGCAAAATTTGATTGGATAATTGGAGACATTAATTATTTAAAAGAGATAAACTGATTTTGATTTTTTATATAAAAAATTTTTAGAGTTTAAAGATGGCACAGCAAATATTGCTATATAAATATTATATATAAGGATTGACTTAAAACAAACAATAAACCTACTAACTTTATTTAAGTATGTGTTTTGAAAAGTATTTGACTTAGCAAGTATATAGTAATAATATATCTAATTTTTATAATAAAATAAGAGTAAGGAGTAATACAAGAAAACTGAAGAAAAGAGAACCATCACAGATCTTTCCTCATACAACTGAAGAATAAGCAAGACTCCCAAACTTGAGTAAATTTTAATCAAAGATTCTATCCCATTGTATCAGTTGTCTTAAAGGTTCTTAAGTTCTTAAGCTGGAACTTGTGATAAAGAGAGTAAAGTATTTTTTCTTGTTTAAAAAGAAAAATTTTTAACAAAATAGACATGATTAGAAGAAAGTTTTAAAATTTAAAAAAGTTTTTTTTTTGTAAGTAAATATTATTTTTTTATTTTATTTGTATATAACAAGGTATATATCATAAAAGAAACAACATCTCTCATATATTGATACAATGAGTTAAATGCTAGCTTGTCTATAGTAACTATATAATTAATATTGAAAAGAAAGTTTAAAACAATATATTTTACCATATAGTACTGAGCAGCTATGAATATCTACTCAATATTAAGAGGAATAGTGTTTGAAAAAAATATTATTAAATTTTGAATGTATTTGTCATAATTAGAATAAAAGAATTAGTAATAATTGTTAATAGGTCTATGATGATTTTGTTTTGAATAGCATTGAAGTGTGAGCTTCTAATGAAAACAGTATAGTTTTTTTTTGGTTTGGTTAAATTGACAGTGTTCAGTGATTCATTTGGTTTCCATTTGATACTTGTGAAAGATGAAGTGTTAGTAGTATTGTATTGTGATTTCCAAATTAAGTTATATAATTGGGTTAGGGATTCTGTTAATGTCTTGACCCAGCTGGTGATATCTGTTATAAAGAAGATTCTGTCAGTCATACCTAGTGATCAAAGTTTTAAACTGAAAACCGATTAATCCAGGAATCGGTTTTGGTCCAAATTGGTTCAGTTTTTAAAATTTTTAAACCAATAAAAATCGGATCAGATTGGTTTTAAAATTTTATAAACCAATCAGATCAGATTAGATCGGTTTTGGTTTATTAGGTATTAATAAAAGTTAATCAAATGCAACAGTTGTAAAATATACTATATACAGTATTTCTTACTTGCCAGAACTGTAACCAATAAAAACCCTGGTTTGATATAAGGTAATGTTTGATTTATCAATAGTTATATAGGTAAAAGGTATATCATTTGCTTGTGAAATATTGTATATACTGTATTACAATATACAATATTAATATATTTTGGATTTTTTTTAGATTTGTTTACAATAAAATATATTTATTTTCCAAAGATACTTTAATTGAAAAGCAGATAATATTTAACACAATGATTATATAAGATGCATAGTAATCGTTGTTTTCGACGACCAACAAACATAGAATAATAACATATTTATTATAATTGTATTTCATTGTTGATCACAGGGTGTGCATTTCTCTTTAGCGAATGTTACCATTACATTAAAAAATAATTTAAATTGACAAGTCTACTTGTGTTTTTGTCATGCGGTATGGTAATAAATAATCTAAAATAAAATTAAATATTTTCGCTTTGAAATATTTCTATGATTTCTTTCAAAATTCCTACACCCTTTTCAGCTTCTTCTTTACTTAATATTAAGGGCGGTACAATTCGAACAGTATTATTACCAGCGGTAATGATTAACAGTCCACGTTCTCTTGCCATTCGGACCAGAGGACTTGGATCTCGGGTGAATTGTATGCCAATGATTAATCCTTTACCACGGACTTCACTAATTAGTGAAGGATAGGTTGCACTCAATTTTTCAAATGTTGAAAATAAATATGAGCCAACATTATTAACATTTGACAATAATTCGGGTGTGTTAATCCTAGAGACTACATTGAGCGCTACTCGACATGCCACTGGGTTGCCCCCAAATGTTGTACCGTGATCACCTAAGTTGAATGCGATGATAATTAGCTATTTGATAAAAAAATAGATTAGACTAAATTAACTAACCAATTTTAATTATATCTGCAACACGTTTCGAAGTTAATATTGCACCAATCGGAAATCCGTTTGCTAATGGTTTCGCCATTGTCAAAATATCTGGATGACATGATTTTGGAAGGTGTTGATGTGCCCATAATTTCCCAGTACGACCGAGGCCACACTTATAAAGATAAATTCAAATAATTGTCATTTGTGATAATAAAAAAGAAAATTACCATGAAGATATATTACCTGAATTTCATCAAAAATCAATAAAGCATTAACTTCATCACACCTTTTCCTTAACGCTTCCATAAAAGGTATGCTTGCTTCCCAAACACCACCTTCGCCTTGTATAGGTTCTACAATAACAGCACATGTGCCATCATCAATCGATTCATTTAAATTACTAATATCATTTAATTTTGCATGGCTAAATCCAGGTACCATTGGCTTAAATGGACTTTGATACTTTGGTGAAGGTGTTGCCGATAAAGCTCCAAATGATCTTCCATGGAATGCATTAACAAACGATACTACTTTATATTTTTCCTCGTTACCAATAAATTTTCCCCATTTCCTGGCAAATTTCAATGCTCCTTCATTTGCTTCTGTACCAGAATTCGAAAAGAATACTTTTGATGCCTCAAATCCTCCTCCTGCACGTGTTGTCTCAACTAGCAACTCTGCTAATTCACCTGCATATTCATTATGATATAAATTACTAAGGTGCACGAGCTTGTTCGCTTGTTCTGAAATAATGCGAGCCACTTCGGAATCTGCATGGCCTAATGCATTCACCGCTATTCCAGCCGTAAAATCAAGATATTCACGATTTGCTAGATCGTAAACTCGGCATCCTTTACCATGCGATAAAATAATTGGGGGACGAGAATAAGTATTTATTGTGTATTTGTCCTGTTTAGCAAGTAGTTGCGCTGTAATTGGTGCTGTTTCCGAATCGGCGTGCGTAACCTTTGCCGAGTAAAATCAATTAAAAAAAAAAAAAAAATCGTTAAAACGACTATGAAAGATAAATTGTGAAAACGGTTCTAATACCTTTTTGTTCTCGGTCATAATTGCAGTTTTAACCTTGAGCTCGGTATGTATTTGCGTTGCGGTACTATATGATCGTGACTAAAAGAAGTATTAGTTATCAAAATTACGCCAACAAATACAAAACAATGAAGTTAAAACATACAATACTGTTTGCTCTTTGAATTTCAAAATTACTTCTACCTCTGATACTTTTCACATGAGTCCTAGCTGCTACAACCAATGGACGAAGCATTTTGTTAATTCAAGTTGCCTAGAATTTACATGCTATAAATAAGAAAAACACGTACTTAACACTCGAGATAATTTTTCAGATCATCTATGTATAAAAGATAATCTTATACTATGATATGATGCATGTAATTTCCATCGGATCAAAAATTTTTACAATTGGGTATATACCATAATACTTTACTATTGTTTAATCTACAGTTTACCTGATATACAAAAATATAAAATTTGAATATTATTTTACTTTTGTCAAGATTTTTTTTTCATATACTGTATAATCTTTTTTTATAATTTTATATATAATTTTAATATATTTTAGTAATTTTTTTGTTATTTATAATTAAATAATTATTTATTTTTTAAATCTCTATTGAGTTTATTTATAAAATTAATATTAAAAAAAAAAATTTTTTTTTTTTTTTACTTAAAAATTTTCTTTTTTTTTTTAAAAAACCACCAAGTCCTGTAAAAAAAAAATTAAATTTTAAAAAAAAAGGGACCATTTTTTTGGGTTAAAAAAAAAAAAGATA